GATGCTGATCTCGTACTTGGCACTACTTTCATAATCTAAACCGTCCAATCAGCATTACCTCTCCAGTGGTTGGGTCCAGCTTTAAAATGGATAGCAGCGATTGGGGTGTGTGATCAGCAAACACGTATTCTATTTCACCATTAACACCCTCATCTGCGTCCGTGGCGTCAACTTGTACTAGAATAGATCCGACTGCGCTGTTTTCTGAGACAGACACGTTATACAGAGCCTTTTTAAACACGGGCACGTTATCATTAATGTCCAAAACACTAACAGTGATCTTTGAGGTTCCAGTTTTTGCAGGGTTGCCTCCATCTGACGCCGTCAACAATAAATGATGGATGCTCTGTTTCTCTCGGTCAAGAGATTTCTCCAACACTAGTTCGGGAACTTGTCTGTCACCTGGCAAATCTTTTCATTTTTAAACTAAAACATTCATTCTTACTCAGTGTGTATGACTTAACTGAATAACTACCAACATCCTGGTCCTGCGCAGCGTCTAAAGGAAAGCGTACACCCGTGGCGGTGGATTCGGCCACCTTTAAAACCCGCTCAGCTGTTAAGAAAACCGGAGAATTATCGTTTATATCTCTAATTTCTACTTCTATTCGGTGTAATTGTAACGGATTCTCAGCCACAACCTGCAGAGTCAGAACGCAGCTGGCGCTTTGTCCCACATAAAGCCTCTCTGTCTATCCGGTTCATTCACCAGCAGCTCGCCCTTCCCCGCATCCACGCTGAAATACTGCTCACCAGCCTCAGAGGCGACACGCAGCTTACGCTCAAAGATGTCAGATAAAGACAAACCCAGATCTTTGCCAGGTTTCCAACTACAGATCCCTGTTTCAGCTCCTCTGGGATGCCGTAGCGAGTCTGTCCTTCTACTGTACTCCACAACAGGAAGAAATGATGCCACCAGACCCGCTTTCCATCTCCAGTCTCGGTATCCTTTTGTCTTTGTCATTCCGGATTCGCAAGAATTATTTCCCAGTAACGTGATCAAAAATAATATCTATTCCATCCATCATCACAGAGACTTACTCCAGAGCAAAACACACAATTACATCCGAGCAAAGAGCAAAAAATAATGTGTTTTAGATTTAATAGCAGCATCGCTCCCTTCTTCCATCTCCATGCAGTAGGTGTTTGTGAAGACTCGCTGCAAGGGGGAGGGACCTAGATCTCTTTGTACAGCTGCACGTTTCATTGGTGCTCAATATTCTTCCTACCAACCAGTAGGAGAGCAGGAGAGGAGTGTTTTATACACAGATTTGCAGGAAAAAAGCTAGAAATAATGAAAATAATGAAAAAAGTTAATTCATTTACTTTTTTAAAATAATTTTCATGGAAACAAAACAAAGGTAGAGCAAAATCATGTTGCAAAATAATATATTTGTTTAAATGCCAGCAGAATCCGCTGATTTATTATAAAAATAAAAATAAATCGGTCATTAAAAGACTGAAAGTGGAAACGTCTCTGTCCAGATCTGTGGTGCTGAAACACGAAAGACAGTCGAAATGGGAACATTTCAAATTTTTCATGGAGTTGAAAGATATATTGTCCTCCTCTCTCTCTCTCTCTCTCTCTCTCATCTCTCTCTCTCTCTCTCCTCTCCTCTCTCGCTCTCTCTCTCTCTCTCTCTCTCTCTCGCTCTCTCTCTCTCTCTCTCTCTCCTCTCTCTCTCTCTCTCTCTCTCTCTCTCTCTCTCTCTCTCTCTCTCTCTCTCTCTCTCTCTGTGTGTGTTCACAAAACACTTCACAAGCAATCAGTGATTATTTAGAAAAACCAAATTAATATGAAGCAAGAGAAACATTTAAAGTTTTTATTTCCTGATTTAAGATATTTTTAGCACTCACAAAAAATGTTTTAAATTTCGCGCAGTCAAACTCTAAACTGCTTTCATTTCCTGCTCACCTGCTGGCTCTCAAAGGTCCAGGTGCTGTCGGGTAAAGACGCATCCAGAACGCTGATGACTTCTTTAAAGTCTGTGGTGCTGCTGGGTTTAATCAGAGTGAAGTCGCTGTACTCTGACATGGGAGACATGCAGGACCTGAAGGACTGACTCTGGGACATCATGTCTCCTCCCAGGACCTCCACGTACTTTATGGGTCCATCAGTGTTGAGCTGAATCTGCAGGTTCCTGTTGGGCTTCTTGTAATCATCACAGTCGCTCCGTCTGATGCAGCAGCTCCCGCTGCTCCTGCTGCTCCTGATGCATTTAACCGCTAAGATGAGAAACGTGACCAGAGACAGCACGGACACCGAGGCCAGAGACAGGATCAGGTAAAGGGTGATTCTGCCAGTTTTCTTGCTGGGCTCGGACGCTTTGTGTCGGAGCTCTAACATGGGCTCATGGAGACCGTCCTCCAGCAGGATGGACACCGTGGTGGTGGCGGACTGGAGCGGTTCTCCATCGTCCTTGATCTCTATCAGCAGCCTCTGAGAGGACTCGTCCTGCTCGGACACAGCGCGTTTAGTCCTCACCTCTCCTGTGTACTGGTTGACGGTGAACAGAGAGGTGTCCGTGGCCTCCGCCAGTCTGTAGGAGATCCAGGCGTTGTGTCCCGAGTCAGCGTCCACCGCTGTCACCTTGGTAACCAGGTGACCCGCCTTAGCGGAGCGGGGCATCCTCTGGTGAGAGAGGGAGCCCAGGGCAGCGGAGGAGGGGTAAATAACAGCGGGGGCATTGTCGTTCTGGTCCAGGATAAAAACATGGACTGTAGCGTTGCTGCTGAGACACGGAGAGCCCTGATCCTTTGCCTGGACCACAATCTGAAACACCTTCAACTTCTCGTAGTCAAACGAGTGCATGCTGTAGATGCTGCCGTTGTCTGAGTTCATGTAAACATAAGATGAGACAGAGACGTCCTGGACTTTCGAGTCTAGGATGGAGTAAGAGATCTTTGCGTTTTCTCCTGAATCCAGATCAGATGCTGATACTGAGTAAAGAATAGAACCTTGTACTCCGTTCTCCTTTAGATACACGTTATAGGAGGGCTGAGTAAACATGGGTGGATTGTCATTCACGTCAGTAATATTAACGGAAATAGTCTTTTTAGTAGACAGCGGGGGAGAACCTAAATCCGTTGCTGTTATCTCAACATCATAGCCTGAAAATGTCTCTCGGTCTAAAGTTCCGCTTGTTATCAGCGCGTAATTATCAGAAAAAGATGGTTTTAGTTTAAACGGAGCAGCTTTAGGAAGCTCTAAAACTACTCTGCCGTTCTCTCCAGAATCAAGATCTCTAGCACTAATTAAGGCAACCACGGTACCGCTCGCTGCGTCCTCAGGCACCGAGTTCGGCTCTGACGTCAGTAATATGCTTGGAGCGTTATCGTTAATATCCAGCACATCCACGTGGACCGTGCAATGCCCCTCCATTCTCGGACTTCCTTTATCTGTAGCTGTCACGTCAATTTCGTAGTTAGCTATTTTTTCAAAATCCAAGTTTCCACTCAAACGGATTTCTCCGGTTGACGAGTCGATGTTAAACATGGACAGGACAGTGCCTGGTGTGTGAGATCCAAATGAAAACTCCACCTCTCCATTCAATCCTTCGTCTGCGTCTTTCGCTGTCACTCTAACAACAGAGGCGTCTTTAACACTACTTTCACTCACAGAAACCTTGTACACGTTTTTGTCAAAAACTGGAAAATTATCATTAATGTCAAGCACATGTATTATTATTTGGCAGGATCCAGATTTGACTGGATTTCCTCCATCTAGAGCGGTTAGTGTGAGCTTATGTGTAGATTTTTTCTCTCTGTCGATAGGTTTAGATAGAATTAATTCTGGAGCCTTCTTTCCACCGGACACGTCTTTAATCTTTAAACTAAAAAAGTCATCCTTACTCAAAGTGTACGACCTGACAGAATTCACTCCGACGTCGAGATCTTGCGCGGTTTCCAGTGGAAAATGTGTCCCTGCCGCGGCTGATTCAGCGATCTGTAATGTTTTTTCTGCCGAGGGGAATCTAGGAGAATTATCGTTAACATCTTGTATTTCTACCTCTACCCGGAACAGTTGTAATGGTTTGTCCACCACAACCTGCAGAGTCAGAACGCAGCTGGCGCTTTGTCCACATAAAGCTTCTCTGTCTATCCGGTCATTCACCAGCAGCTCGCCCTTCCCCGCATCCACGCTGAAATACTGCTCACCAGCCTCAGAGGCGACACGCAGTTTACGCTCAAAGATGTCAGATAAAGACAAACCCAGATCTTTGGCCAGGTTTCCAACTACAGATCCCTGTTTCAGCTCCTCTGGGATGCCGTAGCGAGTCTGTCCTTCTACTGTACTCCACAACAGGAAGAAATGATGCCACCAGACCGCTTTCCATCTCCAGTCTCGGTATCCTTTTGTCTTTGTCATTCCGGATTCGCAAGAATTATTTCCCAGTAACGTGATCAAAAAGAATATCTATTCCATCCATCATCACAGAGACTTATTCCAGAGCAAAACACACAATTACATCCGAGCAAAGAGCAAAAATAATGTGTTTTAGATTTAATAGCAGCATCGCTGCCTTTCTTCCATCTCCATGCAGTAGGTGTTTGTGAAGACTCGCTGCAAGGGGGAGGGACTAGATCTCTTTGTACAGCTGCACGTTTCATTGGTGCTCAATATTCTCCCTACCAACCAGTAGGAGAGCAGGAGAGGAGTGTTTTAGACACAGATTTGCAGGAAATAATGAAGAAAATACGCAAAAAATATTCAATTAATATTATATCATTTTCATAGAAATACAAGAAAGTTGGTTACCAAATAGGAATCATATTGTATAACGAGTTTGTTTGAACACCATCAGATTTTTAACGAATTTATAAAAAAAAAATAAAAATAAAACCCACGATTTCTAACACAGAAATTGTAAATGCTGCTGTCCAGATCTGTGGTGCTGAAACATTAAAGCCAGTCGAATGGGAAACGTTGACATTTTTCATGAGATTTTATAGATAGATTGACAGCTCTGTGTGGTGTGTGTGTGTGTGTGTGTGTGTGTGTGTGTGTGTGTGTGTGTGTGTGTGTGTGTGTGTGTGTGTGTGTACTTATGTTGATACTACTCAAAGCACGTCGCCAAAAATCAGTGATTATTTAGAAAAATAAAATGAAATAAAAGGAATATAAAACATGAACAAAAATAAATATTTGACAGATTTTTTTATATTTTGAAGATATTTTAGTCACTAAAAATTGAATTAAAATTCGTGCAGAAAAACTTTAAACTTATTTCATTTCCTGCTCACCTGCTGGCTCTCAAAGGTCCAGGTGCTGTCGGGTAAAGACGCATCCAGAACGCTGATGACTTCTTTAAAGTCTGTGGTGCTGCTGGGTTTAATCAGAGTAAAGTCGCTGTACTCTGACATGGGAGACATGCAGGACCTGAAGGACTGACTCTGGGACATCATGTCTCCTCCCAGGACCTCCACGTACTTTATGGGTCCATCAGTGTTGAGCTGAATCTGCAGGTTCCTGTTGGGCTTCTTGTAATCATCACAGTCGCTCCGTCTGATGCAGCAGCTCCCGCTGCTCCTGCTGCTCCTGATGCATTTAACCGCTAAGATGAGAAACGTGACCAGAGACAGCACGGACACCGAGGCCAGAGACAGGATCAGGTAAAGGGTGATTCTGCCAGTTTTCTTGCTGGGCTCGGACGCTTTGTGTCGGAGCTCTAACATGGGCTCATGGAGACCGTCCTCCAGCAGGATGGACACCGTGGTGGTGGCGGACTGGAGCGGTTCTCCATCGTCTTTGATCTCTATCAGCAGCCTCTGAGAGGACTCGTCCTGCTCGGACACAGCGCGTTTAGTCCTCACCTCTCCTGTGTACTGATTGACGGTGAACAGAGAGGTGGCCGTGGCCTCCGCCAGTCTGTAGGAGATCCAGGCGTTGTGTCCCGAGTCAGCGTCCACCGCCGTCACCTTGGTAACCAGGTGACCCGCCTTAGCGGAGCGGGGCATCCTCTGGTGAGAGAGGGAGCCCAGGGCAGCGGAGGAGGGGTAAATAACAGCGGGAGCGTTGTCGTTCTGGTCCAGGATAAAAACATGGACTGTAGCGTTGCTGCTGAGACACGGAGAGCCCTGATCCTTTGCCTGGACCACAATCTGAAACACCTTCAGCTTCTCATAGTCAAACGAGTGCATGCTGTAGATGCTGCCGTTGTCTGAGTTCATGTAAACATAAGATGAGACAGAGACGTCCTGGACTTTCGAGTCCAGGATGGAGTAAGAGATCTTTGCGTTTTCTCCTGAATCCGGATCAGATGCTGATACTGAGTACAGAATAGAACCTGGTACTCCGTTCTCCTTTAGATACACGTTATAGGAGGGCTGAGAGAACACAGGTGCGTTATCATTCACATCAGTGATGCTGACAACTACAGTTTTCTTACTGGACAGTGGAGGAGAGCCTGAGTCCGTCGCTGTTATCTCTATTTTAAACTCTGGGTATTTCTCACGGTCTAAAGGATTGTTCGTCACTAAAGCATAATTATTGGAAAAAGATGGTTTGAGTGTAAACGGGGAACCTTTGGGGAGCTGCAGGGTTACTCTAGCGTTTTCACCTGAATCAAGATCACGCACACTGAGCAAAGCAACCACAGTCCCGCTGCGGGAGTCTTCAGGGACAGAGGTGGATTTAGAAGTCAGTATTATTTCAGGAGCATTATCATTTATATCCAACACATCCACCTGCACGGTGCAGTGACCTTCCATTTTAGGCAGCCCTTTGTCTCTTGCACTAATATCTATTCGATAAGATGCCTGCATTTCGTGGTCTAATTGTTGTTTTAAATAAACATCTCCGGTTACCACATCTATATGAAACAAGAACAGAACTGCTGGTGGTGTGTGAACACCAAGAGAATACTCGATCTCTCCGTTTGGACCCTCATCTACATCTGTTGCTTTGGTCGTAATAACAAAAGAACCGTTTTCACTGTTTTCTTTGACAGCAACTTTATAAAAGCCGTTTTCAAACTGTGGAACGTTGTCGTTTATGTCCAGCACATTAATGGTTATTTTGGAAGTTCCGGTCCTAACAGGATTACCTCCATCCATGGCTGTAAGAACTAAATTATGACTCGCCCTTTTCTCCCGATCTAATGATTTATTTAATACCAGCTCGGGAATTTTTCTCCCATTTTCAATTTCTTTAACTTTTAAAGAGAAGCACTCGTCTTTGCTGAGTGAATAGGTTTTTAACCCGTTACTACCAACGTCGGGATCCTCTGCCATCTCGAGCGGAAAACGGACACCTACAACGGTGGATTCGGCTATTTCTATTACGTGATCCGTTTTGAGAAAAGTGGGAGCGTTGTCGTTGACGTCTTTTATTTCGACTTCTATTCTGTGTAACTGCAGCGGGTTTTCCACCACAACCTGCAGAGGTAGAACGCAGCTCGCGCTTTGTCCACACAAAGCCTCTCTGTCTATCCGGTCATTTAGCAGCAGCTCGCCCTTCCCCGCATCCACGCTGAAATACTGCTCACCAGCCTCAGAGGCGACACGCAGCTTACGCTCAAATATATCCGAAAGTCCCAATCCCAGATCTTTGGCCAGGCTTCCAACCAGGGAGCCGTTTTCCAGCTCCTCTGGGATGCTGTAGCGAGTCTGTGCGTTTGCTAGACTCCACAAGAGGAAGAAATAATGCCACCGGAGAGCCATCCATCCCCAGTCTCGGTAATCCATTGTCTTTGTCATCCCAGGTCCGTTACTGCATGTTTGTTTCCACAGAAATATTATAGAAAAACTGATCCGACATGGAAATCCACCAATAAGGAAACTTTCGCGCTCCAAGAAAATCCAAATGTACGCATCATGAGATGTAAATTAACAATATCTGATCCAAAATGGGTGTTCGAACGAACCGTTCGCTGCTGGCGGTGTCTAAGCAAAACCCTCTGTGCAGAGAGAGGATGGGGAGGGAGTAGATCTTTTTGTACAGCAGCGGGTTTTATTGGAGCAAAGCTTCCACCACACAAACCAATAAGCCAGAGACAGAAGGGTGAATTGGGGCAGCGCATCAGTGGACTGGAGGAAGTTAAACATTTAGTATGAATCTAAAACCACTGTGAAATAAAGTAATTAAAATAGAAACGTTAAATAAAGACAACATCTGTTTACCTCATGGAAATGCACAATTCTTCTATTTCATTTTTCACGTTGGTCTATATCGAATTTAAAATTAAGTTTTTTTTCGCTAACTAATAAAGATCAAAGTGCATTTGGTTTGATGGCAGTCCAGTTTAATATTTCATACTTTAATCTTTTTATTGTTCAATATTACCTCTTTAAATTGATCGGAGGGTTTGGCCTTGTCCGGCGCAAATACACAACATCAAAAATACATATTATAAATTTACACTCAACAAAATTATAAACGCAACACCTTTGTTTCTGCTCCGATTTTTCACGAGATGGACTTAAAGATCTAAAATTCATTCCAGATACACAATATTACCATTTCTCTCAAACATTGTTCACAAATCAGTCTAAGTGTGTGATAGTGAGCACTTCTGCTTTGCTAAGATAATCCATCCCACCTCACAGGTGTGCCACATCAAGATGCTGATCTGACATCATGAGTGGTGCACAGGTGTACCTTATACTGCCCACAATAAAAGGCCACCCTGGAATGTGCAGTTTTTTGCTTTATTGGGGGTATGGGGACTCAGAACCGGTCAGGATCTGGTGTGACCACCATTTGCCTCATGCAGTGCAACACATCTTCTTCGCATAGAGTTTATCAGATTGTCATTTGTGGCCTGTGAAATGTTGGTCCACTCCTCTTCAATGGCTGTGCGAAGTTGTTGGATATTAGTGGGAACTGGTGCACGGTAGAGGTGGGAAAAATGATCGATTCTAAGATGCATCGCGATTCAGCCGTGCATGATTCCGCATCGATGCAGCAACATGACATAATGAGATTTTCTCCCTATGTCTATGTCGGGGGTCGGCAACCCGTGGCTCTGGAGCCGCATGCGGCTCTTCCATCCATCTGATGCAGCTCTCTGTGCTTGTAAAATAATGAATGGATATTTAAATAAAATGCTTTATATATTACTGTGTTAATTTTACATCTGTATGCCAATTCTAAATGTAAAGATTGTCTGCGTAAGCCTGAACAGTTCGAACCCGGTCTTACTGTGAGACCGGGTTGACGGGTCACGCTTGTGCGTAATCATATGCGCTTTCTGAGCTGACGAGGATGTGAGATTCTGGGATTCTCCTCAGACGGCTCCTGGATGTGTCGCCACATTGGAGACAGGAACAAGCACTATTCAGCCAAAGTTTCATAATCAGGGAACATTTTCTAAGTGACAAGTCTCGCTTCAGTCGGAGGAATCTTCCTGCATGCGCTCTGGTTCTGCAACGTGCTCCAAGCCCCTCTCCACATCTTCAGCTCGCTGTGGGCCTTATGTAGTACACGCTGACAGTGCCCAGCTCAGATGTTCGGATGGGAATAATTTCTTGAGTGATTTAGCTACATCTGCGATGTGCGAAACGAATAAATTGTCAGTTCGTCTGCATGCGTCGGGGTAATTCTTTCTATTCTTTCTCCGTCAAAATAAATAGTCAAATACGGGAACTATCCGGTCAACACACGCCCTGCTTTTAACTGTTCTGTTTTGTTGTGAAAATTGTTGCAAAGAGATAAAATTAAACTTGATTAACACCAGAGCCGCACTGCGCCGTTATCTCCGTGACTGTAAATGAGGGAGAAACAAAATGATCGGATCCTTTTCTGACCTTCCCCACCTACAAAGTTTAATTACAACAATCAAACGTGACAGAGCCTGGATTTGTATTCTGAACAGTCTAAACATGTTTTAAAACCCTTTCTCAGTGGCCTATTGGTAGAGTGTCTGCCCAGAGACTGGGAGATCAGGGGTTCGATTCCTGGTCGGGTCATACCAAAGACTTTGAACAAATGGGACCCAATGGCTCCCTGCTTGACACTCAGCATTAAGGGGTTGGATTGGGGGGTTAAACCACCAAATAGTTCCCGAGCGCGGCTGTGTCTGCAGCTCACCGCTCCCCCAGGGGATGGGTCAAATGCAGAGAACAAATTTCGCACACACACCTGTGTGCGTGACAACTAATGGGACTTTAACTTTAAAAAGAAACGTATGACAAAAGTGGCACCTGCTCAGTAAAACCACCAACAGGGTGAAAAATATCAAAATATTGTAGGCAGAGAGGGGCTACAACTTCTGGATCCACTTTATACAAATCGTTTTATTGATTATCGTCTTATGAAAGATAACTTTGACGTACACGAGCGACCGGTACCGGCTGCTGTCACCTGTTGTGAGCAGCTCTCTGCTGTCTGAGGGTAGGCCCCGCCCACAACGCTGCAGCTGCTGTTGCTCCCAGTGTTTTCTTTACTGTGGGAAATGGGTAATAATGGCTCTTTGATGGGAACAGGTTGCCGACTCCTGGTCTATGTCTATGCAAGGACAATAAAGTTTTGAGGTTTTACAATTACTTCTGAGGGCAGAGTTGCAATGACATGCGCACTGCGTTGCCCTAGCGCCAATTTAAAACAGAAAAGATGGACAGGGATACAGGGCCAACATTACCAGTAATCAAAGATGTACCCGTTACATTTAAATTGGATGTCTGGGCTAATTTCGGTTTTGGGATCCTGGATGTGAAAGAATCACTTAACACAGTATTTGTTTACTATTTTTAAGTTCAGTAATATTCTATCTTAAAGCTGCTCTACTGAAAACATTATTTCTTATATTATTTAAGTAATTATAGGCAGCACACTTTAAAAATTATTGCTCACTATAGTGAATAGATGAATGTTCTGTTTTTCAGGGATTTCGAAATCAAAAAGAAATTGAAAACTATTCTACTGCTTTTATTAAGTAATGAAAATTTTTGTGTGAAGAATCGTGATGCATTTCAGACTCAAATCGAATCGTTAGGCAGATAATCGGAATCGGATCGAATTGTGAGGCAGGTAGAGATGCACACCACTGGTACACGCTGTCGTATACGCCGGTCAAACACATCCCAAACATGCTCAACGGGTGACATGTCCGGTGAGTATGCTGGCCATGCAAGAACTGGGACATTTTCAGCTTCCATGAATTGTGTACAAATCCTTGCAACATGGGGCCACGCATCATCTTGCTGAAACATGAGGTGAAGTTCATGGATGTACGGCACAACAATGGGCCTCAGGATCTCATCACGGTATCTCTGTGCATTCAAAATGCCAGGGATGGGTACCGAATTCTGTACTTTTTAAGGTACCGACCAAATTCCATAGTACCGACCAAGCACCGATTCACGTCATTTCAAACGGTGCCTCGTTTCGGTACCCATCCTCCATAACGAGAACTTGCCAAAACAGCTGTGCATGCGCAAGAGCATTATGTTGTCGGTCGCTGCGAGCGAGTTGTAAACAGAGCAGCATGGTAGAAAGAATGAACGCTAAAGCTTGGGTCCACTTCACTAAATGTGATGGGTAACTGGGTGATGATGAAACCAGCGACAACGATCTAAGTGTGACATCCTCATCTTAATCTTCTCCGGTAGGTAAATAAAATGTTTAAGATAATGTTAGCTTGATATATTAGCTTCCGTTTCGCTAATGGTGCATTCGCTTTCTCCTCGGAACTCCAAAAATCCGACTAGAAGAACATGAACGCGCTCTAAAGTTTGGCTTCACTTTACTAAATGCGACGGGTGATTGGGTGAAGATGAAACCAGTGACAACGATCTAAGTGTGAGGCATCATCCTTTTAATCTGCTCAAGATGACATTAGCTTGATATGTTAGCTTCCATTGCCACCGTTGTTATCAGCTAATGGTGCGTTCACTTTCTCCTCGGAAATTCTAACTTCCCAGTAGGAAAAATCAAATGGCAAAAGGAATGAAGATACACAGTAAATTTAGTTCACAGTAAAGATGTTTGCTTCAGATTAATTATCAGCTTATAAAACTACAAGGACGATGTTAAAATACAAACAGTTGAATGTTATTTATCGTGATATTTATCAAATATTGTTATATATTGAGAAAAATATATATTTAATTATAAAAGAGAATTAAAATAATAAACACTCAAAAGTATCGAAAATTGGTACCGTTAAGTACCGGTATCGATCCCTAGGTACCGGGAATTAGTACCGAATCTATTCAAATGTCAAAGGTACCCATCCCTAAAAACACACCTGTGTTCTTCGTCCATAACAGATGCCTGCCCATACCACAACCCCACCACCACCATGGGCCACTCGATCCACAACATTGACATTGGCAAAGAGCTCACCCACACGATGCCACAGACGCTGTCTGCCATGTGCACTGAACAATGTAAACCGAGATTCATCCATGAAGAGAACACCTCTCCAACGTGCCAGACGCCGTCGAATGTGAGCATTTGCCCACTCAAGTCTGTTACGGCGACGAGCTGGAGTCAGGTCAAGACCCAAATGAGGACGACGAGCATGCAGTTGAGCTTCCCTGAGACGGTTTCTGACAGTTGTACAGTTTGTGCAGAAAATGTTTGGTTATGCAAACCAATTGTTTCAGCAGCTGTCTGAGTGGCTGGTCTCAGACGATCTTGGAGGTAAACCTGCTGGATGTGGAGGTCCTGGGCTGGTGTGGTTACACGTCGTCTGCGGTTGTGAAGCCGGTTGGATGTACTGCCATATTATCTGAAACGCCTTTGGAGGTGGCTTATGGTGGAGAAATGAACATCCAATGCACGAGCAACAAATTTGGTTGACATTCCTGCTGTCAGCATGCCAACTGCACGCTTCATCAATGCTTGTGGCATCTGTGGCATTTTGCTGAGACAAAACTGCACATTCCAGGGTGGCCTTTTATTGTGGGCAGTATAAGGTACACATTTGCATCACTCATGATGTCGGATCAGCATCTTGATGTGGCACACCTGTGAGGTGGGATGGATTATCTCAGCAAAGCAGAAGTGCTCACTATCACACATTTAGACTGATTTGTGAACAATGTTTGAGAGAAATGGTAATGAATTTTCGATCTTTAAGTCCATCTCATGAAAAATTGGAGCAGAAACAAAGGTGTTGATTTATATTTTTGTTGAGTGTAATTTATACGTAAAATGTCAAAATCGTCGTAAAAGATATGTATAAATTATTTCGCATGTCAGTAGTTTTTAAATCTTATATTAGGATGTAATAATTTGCAAAACATATAGTTTGGTTTTGAAGCAGATTAAGCCATGAGTGAAAACACATTGGACACAAATCAAAATCGAGCTGTTCAGACATACAAAACCCGGTAATTTTTAAAATTTAAATCTCGCTCACCTGCTGGCTCTCAAAGGTCCAGGTGCTGTCGGGTAAAGACGCATCCAGAACGCTGATGACTTCTTTAAAGTCTGTGGTGCTGCTGGGTTTAATCAGCGTGAAGTCGCTGTACTCTGACATGGGGGACATGCAGGACCTGAAGGACTGACTCTGGGACATCATGTCTCCTCCCAGGACCTCCACGTACTTTATGGGTCCATCAGTGTTGAGCTGAATCTGCAGGTTCCTGTTGGGCTTCTTGTAATCATCACAGTCGCTCCGTCTGATGCAGCAGCTCCCGCTGCTCCTGCTGCTCCTGATGCATTTAACCGCTAAGATGAGAAACGTGACCAGAGACAGCACGGACACCGAGGCCAGAGACAGGATCAGGTAAAGGGTGATTCTGCCAGTTTTCTTGCTGGGCTCGGACGCTTTGTGTCGGAGCTCTAACATGGGCTCATGGAGACCGTCCTCCAGCAGGATGGACACCGTGGTGGTGGCGGACTGGAGCGGTTCTCCATCGTCCTTGATCTCTATCAGCAGCCTCTGAGAGGACTCGTCCTGCTCGGACACAGCGCGTTTAGTCCTCACCTCTCCTGTGTACTGATTGACGGTGAACAGAGAGGTGTCCGTGGCCTCCGCCAGTCTGTAGGAGATCCAGGCGTTGTGCCCCGAGTCAGCGTCCACGGCCGTCACCTTGGTAACCAGGTGACCCGCCTTAGCGGAGCGGGGCATCCTCTGGTGAGAGAGGGAGCCCAGGGCAGCGGAGGAGGGGTAAATAACAGTGGGGGCATTGTCGTTCTGGTCCAGGATAAAAACATGGACTGTAGCGTTGCTGCTGAGACACGGAGAGCCCTGATCCTTTGCCTGGACCACAATCTGAAACACCTTCAACTTCTCATAGTCAAACGAGTGCATGCTGTAGATGCTGCCGTTGTCTGAGTTCATGTAAACATAAGATGAGACAGAGACGTCCTGGACTTTAGAGTCCAGGATGGAGTAAGAGATCTTTGCGTTTTCTCCTGAATCCAGATCAGATGCTGATACTGAGTACAGAATAGAACCTGGTACTCCGTTCTCCTTTAGATACACGTTATAGGAGGGCTGAGAGAACACAGGAGCGTTATCATTCACATCAGACACGCTGACAGGTATGATCTTTTTACTGGACAGTGGCGGAGAGCCCGAATCAAAAGCCGTAATTTCGATATTATATTGTGAGACTTTTTCCCGGTCTAGAGGACCGTTTGTTAATAGTTCATAATTATTAGAAAACGAAGGTTTCAGAGTGAAAGGAACGTTTTTGGTGAGATGTAACGTTACTTTTCCGTTCTCAGCAGAATCGAGATCTCGTGCACCAATTAAAGCTACCACCGTTCCGCTTGGTGCGTCCTCGCGCACGGGGCTGGGTTTAGATGTCAGTACAATCTCAGGAACGTTATCATTATTATCCTCTAAGTCAATTTGGACACGACAGTCACCCTCCATTTCAGGAAGCCCTTTGTCTCTAGCAGTTACATCGATGAGGTAGGATTTACTCGTTTCATAATCTAGGGGACCTTTTAATTTAATTTCTCCAGTTACATCATTAATTTCAAATGTTGATAATATAGTATCTGAAGTTCGAGACCCAAAGGAAAATTTAACTTCGCCATTGAGACCCTCATCAGCATCAGTAGCTACCAGCTTGATCACAAATGTCCCTTTAGTGCTGTTCTCCTTTAAGGAAACTTTGTATTCACTCTCGCTGAAAACTGGGAAGTTGTCGTTAACATCCAGGACTGTGACTGTGATCCTACAGGTTCCTGATCTGACTGGGTTTCCTCCGTCTAACGCTGTCAGTAGCAGCTGATGCAGAGCATTCTTCTCTCTGTCCAGCGGGCGTTCTAACACCAGCTCTGGAACGGATTTACCGTTTTTTGTGTCTTTAAGCTTTAAACTGAAGTGATCGTTTTTGCTAAGTGAGTATGTTTTTAAAGAATTACTTCCAACGTCAGCATCCTCCGCGCTTTCTACAGGGAAACGTTTGCCGACAACTACCGACTCCGGTATTTTCAGGTTAATCTCTTGTGTGAAAAAACTCGGAGAATTGTCATTAATGTCTCTTATTTCCACCTCTATTCGATGAGATTGCAACGGATTCTCAACGACAACCTGCAGCGGTAGAACGCAGCTGGCGCTTTGTCCACATAAAGCCTCTCTGTCTATTCTGTCATTCACTACCAGCTCGCCCTTTCCCGCATCCACGCTGAAATACTGCTCGCCGGCCTCAGAGGCGACACGCATCCTGCGGTCGAAAATCTCAGATAATCCCAAACCCAGATCTTTGGCCACGTTTCCAACAACAGATCCACGTTTCAGCTCCTCCGGGATGCTGTAGCGCGCCTGTCCGTTTGTTATATTCCACAAAAGGAAGAAATGATGCCACCAGAGAGTCAGCCATCTCCAGCATCGGTATCCTTTTCTCTTTGTCATCCTAAAGCCTTTATTTTTCGGTCATTTCCATGTATGTCCTTTTTAAAGCAGCATCGGTACCCATAGTAGTGACAGATATCTCATTCTCTACCAAAACCACATCCTTTGAGCAAATCTCCGGGCGATCGCGTATTACAATGAAAGAAAACAACCGCTTATTGCTCTCCCATCCTGAGCTCATTGCAGTCTAGCGTTGTAGCTGCATGGGGGAAGGGACTAGATTCCTTTGTACAATTTAAAATCCTATTGGTGTACGGGATCCCTCAGCAACAGCCAATGAGGTGCAGCGGATCAGCTCTTAAAGTGGCAGCCTGCACATGTGCATTTGAGCTCTGAGCCACGTTGCTAATCAAAGTCAAAACATTTAAAATGAATGAATGAATGAATAAATAAATAAATAAATAAACAAAATAAATAAATAAATAATAGCTTACTATTCTAACCCTGCAGCTATAAAAAGGTCACTTGTCGCTGTCCAGTCTCATGGTGCTGAACTGCGCCAGCACAGCTGCCTCACGTGTTTATACAACATTTCACAGCTCAGATAGATAGATAGATAGATAGATAGATAGATAGATAGATAGATAGATAGATAGATAGATAGATAGATAGATAGATAGATAGAAAGATAGATAATAGATAATAGATAGATAGATAGATAGATAGATAGATAGATAGATAGATAGATAGATAGATAGATAGATAGATAGATAGATAGATAGATAGATAGATAGATAACTGATTTATTCAAAACAACTTTATGTGGATAACATTTCATACTGAGGAATAAAATAACGTACCATATACATTTACTCAAAGACAGCGCAAAATGGAATAGAGTTAAAGACCAACAAAATAATGTTATGTTGTCATTTAATAACCTCCGTGCGTTATGTGTTTTTATAATAAAGATCTCGTTTCCTGCTCACCTGCTGGCTCTCAAAGGTCCAGGTGCTGTCGGGTAAAGACGCATCCAGAACGCTGATGACTTCTTTAAAGTCTGTGGTGCTGCTGGGTTTAATCAGAGTGAAGTCGCTGTACTCTGAAATGGGGGACATGCAGGACCTGAAGGACTGACTCTGGGACATCATGTCTCCTCCCAGGACCTCCACGTACTTTATGGGTCCATCAGTGTTGAGCTGAATCTGCAGGTTCCTGTTGGGCTTCTTGTAATCATCACAGTCGCTCCGTCTGATGCAGCAGCTCCCGCTGCTCCTGCTGCTCCTGATGCATTTAACCGCTAAGATGAGAAACGTGACCAGAGACAGCACGGACACCGAGGCCAGAGACAGGATCAGGTAAAGGGTGATTCTGCCAGTTTTCTTGCTGGGCTCGGACGCTTTGTGTCGGAGCTCTAACATGGGCTCATGGAGACCGTCCTCCAGCAGGATGGACACCGTGGTGGTGGCGGACTGGAGCGGTTCTCCATCGTCCTTGATCTCTATCAGCAGCCTCTGAGAGGACTCGTCCTGCTCGGACACAGCGCGTTTAGTCCTCACCTCTCCTGTGTACTGATTGACGGTGAACAGAGAGGCGTCCGTGGCCTCCGCCAGTCTGTAGGAGATCCAGGCGTTGTGCCCCGAGTCAGCGTCCACGGCCGTCACCTTGGTAACCAGGTGACCCGCTTTAGCGGAGCGGGGCATCCTCTGGTGAGAGAGGGAGCCCAGGGCAGCGGAGGAGGGGTAAATAACAGCGGGAGCATTGTCGTTCTGGTCCAGGATAAAAACATGGACTGTAGCGTTGCTGCTGAGACACGGAGAGCCCTGATCCTTTGCCTGGACCACAATCTGAAACACCTTCAGCTTCTCATAGTCAAACGAGTGCATGCTGTAGATGCTGCCGTTGTCTGAGTTCATGTAAACATAAGATGAGACAGAGACGTCCTGGACTTTAGAGTCCAGGATGGAGTAAGAGATCTTTGCGTTTTCTCCTGAATCCAGATCAGATGCTGATACTGAGTACAGAATAGAACCTGGTACTCCGTTCTCCTTTAGATACACGTTATAGGAGGGCTGAGAGAACACAGGAGCGTTATCATTCACATCAGTGATGCTGACAACTACAGTTTTCTTACTGGACAGTGGAGGAGAGCCTGAGTCCGTCGCTGTTATCTCAATATGATACTCTGACACATTCTCTCGATCCAAAACACCGTTTGTTATAAGTGCGTAATTCTGAGAAAATGAAGGTTTCAGTGCAAAATTAGAGTTTTTTGGTAGCTTTAACTGAACTTTTCCGTTATCACCTGAATCCAGATCTCGTGCATTGATCAAAGCCACCACAGTGCCATTAGGGGCGTCCTCGCGCACCGGCTTTGGATGAGATGTAATCAGGATCTCTGGAGCATTATCGTTAATGTCAAAAACTTCAACATGTAAACTACAATGCCCCTCCATTCTCGGAGTTCCCTTGTCCTTTGCGCTAATGTCTATTTCATAATTGGCAGTTGTTTCAAAATCTAATTTCCCTTTAAGGAAAACTGTTCCTGTTACAGGATCGATGGTAAAAACAGACAGAACCGCATCTGATGTGTGCACTCCAAAAGAATATTCAACCTCTCCATTTGCACCATAATCCGTGTCTGAAGCCTTAGTTTGCGCTATTAACGCCCCCTCTGCAGCATCTTCGGCAACAGAGACTTTATACAAGGATTTTTCAAAAGCAGGAATGTTATCATTAATGTCTAGGACTGTAATAGTTATCTGGGCGGTCCCTGACCTGGCTGGGTTCCCTCCATCTACAGCCGTCAACAGAAGCTTGTGAGCAGCTATTCTCTCTCGATCTAAACCTTTTGCCAAAATTAATTCAGGGACCTTTCTTCCACCAGCAACCTCCTTAATTCTAATGGCAAAACACTCGTCCTTGCTGAGTGTGTACGACTTCAGAGAATTACTGCCAACATCCGGGTCCAAAGCGTGCTCAAGTGGAAAACGAGCTCCAGTTGCTGTAGATTCCGCTATCTCTAGAGTAATGTCTTTAGAGGGGAATGTCGGTGAGTTGTCGTTAATGTCTTGGATTTCTACTTCCACGCGGAACAGTTGTAACGGATCTTCCACTACAACCTGCAGAGGTATCACGCAGCTCGCGCTTTGTCCACACAAACCCTCTCTGTCTATCCGGTCATTCACCAGCAGCTCGCCCTTCCCCGCATCCACGCTGAAATACTGCTTACCTGCAGCAGAAGGAACGCTCAGTTTGCGGTCATAAATCTCGGATAATCCCAAGCCTAAATCTTTTGCAAGATTTCCTACCACCGATCCATCTTTTAATTCCTCCTGGATGCTATAACGAGTCTGTGCGTCTATTGTCTTCCACAGGAGAAGGAAAAGGTGCCACCAGAGCGCAAGCCATCTCCAGCCTCGGCATCCTTTTTTCTTTGTCATCCTTAGTCCGCTATAACACGTTAAATCCACCCGAAAAAGCACAGAGGAAAATGATAAAATCCATTCTCTCAAACTTTATTATCCACCCATAGTCTTCAGAACGGACGGAGCGTGAATTTAAACCAAAATATAAAATCTTCATATCGTAAAGTGAAGCTCATTGCGTCTCCTCTCCTCTTGTTCGATGCATTGTGCGCGTTTGAGCACGGAGGCTGGACGGGGGCAGGGACTAGATTGCTTTGTACAGTTCTGAATCACATTGGTGCAGATGCGTCTGACTCCCGTCCAATGGGAAGACAGCTGATCAACACTTAAAGGCACAGAGCAATCATGGCTTGTGCGGCTTTTCTAAAGGGATAACTACAAACACCAGCCAGTGCCATTAAATCATGTTACAGGAAAACAAACGAATAAAGCATAAAAAGTAAATTAAAAAGAAAGAACAAAAGAAAAAAAGGGACAAAAAGAAAGCAATGATACGCCATTTTGAAAAGGTAAAATGTTATAATGATTGTTTTAATTAATTTATTAATTTAAACATCTCATCCAAAGGAATGTGGAGTCACTTTCCACATTTTTGCTGCTGAAAGTTCTAGGAATGATTTAAGATTTTAGGATTTAAAGTACCAGGTACGCATCGTTCACGTGAAATATAGACGTTGTCGAGTTTAAAGTTATATTATTGTGGATAATATTTAATGCATAAAGTGCCGCAAATGCATATTTATTTAAATGCATTGATACAGAAATACAGTGCAAAGTCAGGGGCTTAATGACAGATATATTCTTTACATAAATGTATTTGAGACGTAACTTTTGTGTAATTTTTACTTAATAAAGATCTTGTTTCCTGCTCACCTGCTGGCTCTCAAAGGTCCAGGTGCTGTCGGGTAAAGACGCATCCAGAACGCTGATGACTTCTTTAAAGTCTGTGGTGCTGCTGGGTTTAATCAGAGTGAAGTCGCTGTACTCTGACATGGGAGACATGCAGGACCTGAAGGACTGACTCTGGGACATCATGTCTCCTCCCAGGACCTCCACGTACTTTATGGGTCCATCAGTGTTGAGCTGAATCTGCAGGTTCCTGTTGGGCTTCTTGTAATCATCACAGTCGCTCCGTCTGATGCAGCAGCTCCCGCTGCTCCTGCTGCTCCTGATGCATTTAACCGCTAAGATGAGAAACGTGACCAGAGACAGCACGGACACCGAGGCCAGAGACAGGATCAGGTAAAGGGTGATTCTGCCAGTTTTCTTGCTGGGCTCGGACGCTTTGTGTCGGAGCTCTAACATGGGCTCATGGAGACCGTCCTCCAGCAGGATGGACACCGTGGTGGTGGCGGACTGGAGCGGTTCTCCATCGTCCTTGATCTCTATCAGCAGCCTCTGAGAGGACTCGTCCTGCTCGGACACAGCGCGTTTAGTCCTCACCTCTCCTGTGTACTGATTGACGGTGAACAGAGAGGTGTCCGTGGCCTCCGCCAGTCTGTAGGAGATCCAGGCGTTGTGTCCCGAGTCAGCGTCCACCGCCGTCACCTTGGTAACCAGGTGACCCGCTTTAGCGGAGCGGGGCATCCTCTGGTGAGAGAGGGAGCCCAGGGCAGCGGAGGAGGGGTAAATAACAGCGGGGGCGTTGTCGTTCTGGTCCAGGATAAAAACATGGACTGTAGCGTTGCTGCTGAGACACGGAGAGCCCTGATCCTTTGCCTGGACCACAATCTGAAACACCTTCAGCTTCTCATAGTCAAACGAGTGCATGCTGTAGATGCTGCCGTTGTCTGAGTTCATGTAAACATAAGATGAGACAGAGACGTCCTGGACTTTCGAGTCCAGGATGGAGTAAGAGATCTTTGCGTTTTCTCCTGAATCCAGATCAGATGCTGATACTGAGCACAAAATTATCCCCGGAGGATGATTTTCTTTAACATAAACTATGTAAGAAAGTTGGGAGAACAGTGGTGGACTGTCATTTACATCTAATAGCTCAACAACAATTGTTTTTTCGCTCGATAACGCGGGTTTCCCTGAATCAGTAGCAGTTATTTGAACACTATAGTGACTATTCTTCTCCCGGTCAAGCGGACCATTCGTTACTAAAGAATAATGTTTAGAGACTGAAGGATTTAACTTAAAGGGAGATTTGGGAGAAACAGTCAAGGTAACCTTGCCATTATCACCTGAATCCGGGTCTTTTGCACTTATTATTGCAATTACTGTACCGATAGCAGAGTCCTCAGCGACAGGTGTTGTTAAGGATGTGACTATTATTTCAGGAATATTATCATTAATGTCAGTTATTTTTATTTCCACGCTGCAGTGACCATCCATTTCAGGATTTCCTTTATCTTTTGCTGTGATATCAAACCTGTGTAAAGCGCTGGTTTCATGATCTAACGTTCCTTTGACAGCAACAGCTCCTGTAGACGGATTAACGTGAAATAATGATACGATCAGATCAGTAGTTTGTTCCGCAAATAAATATTCAATTTCCCCGTTTAATCCCTCGTCTGCATCTGTGGCTTTAACTCGTAAAATCTCAGTACCAGGTCTAGCCTTTTCACTGATATTAGCCTCATATAGTTGTTTTTCGAACTGCGGCGCGTTGTCGTTATTGTCAAGAACAATCACTGTAATTTCAGACGTCCCTGAACGCACCGGATCCCCTCCATCTACCGCGGTCAGGATGAGGTTGTGCACCTGCAGCTTTTCTCTATCAAGAGGTTTTTCCAGAACCAGTTCGGGGATCTTTCTTCCATCTTTTAGGTTTTTAACAATCAGCTTGAAATGATCATTTTTGCTTATGAGATACGTCCGGACAGAGTTCAAGCCCACATCAGGATCTTGTGCGCTCTCTAAAGGAAATCGCGCTCCTGGGTTTACAAGCTCTGCGATTTTCACAAGTTTTTCTTTCGTGCTAAAGCTGGGAGAATGATCGTTTGTGTCCTGAATTTCAATTTCCACTCTGTGCAGTTGTAGAGGGTTATCTATGACCAACTCCAAAGGCAACAAACACGACGGGCTTTGTCCACACAGCTCCTCTCGGTCTATTCTGTCCGTCACCACCAGTTCTCCTTTCCCCAGGTCTACATTAAAATACTGCTTACCAGCTTCAGAGGTTATCCGCAATTTGCGTTGATAGAGCTCAGAAACAACCAAACCCAAGTCTTTGGCTATATTTCCTACCACCGATGCACGTTTCAGCTCCTCTGGGATGCTGTAGCGAGTCTGTCCGTCTATTGTACTCCACAAGAGCAAGAAATGATGCCACCACAGAAGCAGCTGCCATGTCGGTGATTTGATCCACATTATTCCACGTCCCCAAAATGCCATATTATTTCATCCGACTCCCAGATTTTTAAATGAAAAATCGAAGGTTTAAAATCCCATTCAGATGAAGCATCTAATATAAAAGTCATGCTTTGTGTCTGCATTCCTCTCCTCCTGTGCGGAACATTGCAACGCCCCCAGCCTGATGCGAGTCGCTGAGACAGAGAAGATCTCTTTGTACAGCTCAGCACGTGATTGGTGCAAATGGTAAAGTGATTTCCACCAATCCTGGCATAGCAGGGACGTACGGTAGGACCAAAGTAAAACCACCCTGCATTGAATAGTGCAATATGAAATAGTAATGGCTCTTATTAAATAACTAACCCTCTCATATTTTATTTTGAATATTTATAAACTATAAGACATTTGACTGTGCATTCTAAGATGAAAATATATAAATGAAATCTTGTTTTTAAAGAAAATGAAACAAAAGAATCACAAAATGTTTTGTAAATGTCATATATTTCTGTAATAATTATACCACTGATTCTACCTTCGTTCAGAGAACAAAAATAGATCGGTGATTACAAGATTAACATTTCCTTGTAATTGAAACTCGACAGTGTTTGCACAGAGGAGGCCTGCATGCGCGAGGAGAACATAACATGGTTACATAGATAACACGGATTACACTTTCCCTCAGTTGATTAGAACAACAATACGAGGCGAGGAAAAGCGTGTTGGGTCCAAAAGGTTAGGTGTGTGCGTCAGCATGATGACACAAACGTGAGTCCTGCTTGCAGAGATGGTGACTGTTGCAGGTGGAGAGACAATTCAGAACGTAGAGCTGTGTGTGTGTGATCTTTTCCTAATGTGCTACTTTAACAAGTAGACGCATTAATAATATCTGAATTAATTAAAAGGTTCTGAGACTCGTTTTTCCT